TTTCTACATCTGATGGTGGAACATCTTTCTACATCTGATGGTGGAACATCTTTCTACATCTGATGGTGGAACATCTTTCTACGGCTGATGGTGAACATACATATATTTATTTATTATTTATTTATTTATATTTATATACTTCCTACTGGCTCCTTTTGTAAATTTATGTATATATTCTTATTTGTCTTTTTTAAACTTTTTTTTTTTTGCACCACTGGAGTTGTCTTTTCATTTCATTGTACTTTGTGTATGATGACAATAAAAGCATTCTATTCTATTCTATTCTATTCTATTCTATTCTATTCTATTCTAAATAACAAGCAATGCAACTTTTTTCGTTTCTATAATGAATCTCATGGTGACAGAAGAGTCCACTGAGTTCTTCATGTTGTTCTGGTTCCACAGAGCTGCAGGACTTCGGTGAAAAATAAACCACAGTGAAGAAAAAAATGATCCAGGAGTAAAAAAAAAACAAGCTGGAGTTCGGAGGGTTAACACTCTGACAGCTCCACACATGACTGTTCTTCCACTAAAGTAATTTCGACCTTTTTCTTCTCCGCATGTGCTATCTGGAAAACCTGCTGACAGAACAGGTTTGCGTGAAAGCCGGGAGGTTGCGGGCCAAGAGGCGGATGATGGGTTCCTGATGTGGATCCAGATCCTGAGATTTCTTTATTAAATCCATAACATCGCGGACATGCCTGAACATTCTTCCTGCTCCGACACTGACAGCTGCTCCGACTTAACCCCGCGAGCCCTTCGGGTGTTCTCAGAGCCGCTACCTTCAGGCTCTTATCTGGGAGTCGGTAGAGACCAGACGGACGTGTTGGACCTTGTTTTCTCCACAACAGTCTCAGCTGTCAGGATCCTCCAACGTTTAATAAGATAATATTTACAGATTTTAAATATTTACATCAAGGAAACACTGGTTTTGTGTTTAGAAGTTGCTGTTTTTACATGTTTCTGATCACAACACGCTGGCAGAAGAACGAAATTGAAAAAATATGTGATTAACTGAGATAAAGGTCACTGAGCAAGTTGCTCATGTCAGTGAAAGGAGTCCTCTGCACAAACATGTCGAGGTCTGAGAGTCGCTGTGGTGTCATAAATAAAAGAAGTGTCTCCATTCACACCGTCTCAGTTTGTAAATCAGAAACTGAAAGTGTTGTCATATTATCTCAAAGTAAAGTCAGTTTCAGTGCAGTCAGGCTTCTGCAGGTTTTCTGACATTAAAAGTGGCAGAAAATGTGCAGCCAATAATGCAAATTAAGGTTTTCAGAGCGGGGCTGGAACGTAACTTCTAGAAATCAAATAAAACTTCATGACAAGCATCAAACCCTGTCAGAGTGCTGCTCCTAAATACTGTATAAGAACTCAGCAGGCCTGCAAGTAATCAATATATTCAGTGAATTATTTACTAAATCAATCAGTTGCTCGGCCTCTAAAATGTCTAAAAATATTGTCTCCAGTTGTCTTGTTTTGTCCAAAGATATTCAGTTTACCGTCACAGAAGAGCAAAGAAACAGGAAATATTCACATTTAAGAAGCTGAGATCACAGAATTCAAACAAAGTTCTCATCGATTCATCGTCGCAGCTCTACGAGGCAACACTTCGTTTTCCTTTTAGCTTATGAATGAAAATGTTATTTGTCCTGCAACTATTAACAAATGTCATCGGATCTTAACCGTAATATTTAAACTTGTTCAGCAAATCTTTAATCTTATTTCTCAACTAAAAAGCATTATTTTTATTTTTTTTAAATGTGCTGCATATCTGACCTTGTGATTATTTCCGCTGTCAATCAATTTGTGTTTTTTTTTTGATTAATCAAATAGTTGTTGGTTTCAAAAATAACAGAAAAAACATTTTGTCCAAAGATGTTCAGTTAACTATCACAGAAATATTTGCATTTAAGAAGCTGCAATAACAGAATTCAGTCTGTTTTTATTAAAAATTACTCAAAATAGTTGCAGATTATTCTTAATAATTGAGAGCTGATTGATTATAAATGGAATCGACTGACTGATTCTGCTGCTAGCTCGGATTAACCTGCTATAGATAATAATAATCTTCTGTGTTGGAGGCGACACTTTGGGGCTCGAGCTGAAAACGTTGAACTCCGTCCTGTTTCCTCACCTCTGTCTGTGGGCTGCGTGTTGGCGCTGCTGATGCTGAGCTGATACAGCGACCCGATGTCGTCTTCCCCTCCGGCCGGCGCCTGGCAGCTCCTGTCCAGGACCACGTCCACCAGCACTGAGAACTCTGCGGGACAGACAGGACCAAGGTGAGATGTGACCCGGATGACCAGATGTGTGAAGGGTTCGGAGGCCGCCGGTACCTGAGGAGCTGACGTGGGCTGGAATCGGCACGTCTGGGCTCAGACCCAGGAAGTTGCACTTGTAGGCTTCTTCGTACTGAGCGCTGTACGGCACCGAGCGGACGCAGCCGACCGGCAGCAAGGACTGGTGGGAGGACGGGCAGAGTCCGGTTAGAGACAGGCCTGATCACACAGCTGGCATTAAAGCACAGGAGGAGGTACCGAGGTCTGAGAGAAGACGGGAATGTTCTAGAGCTGCTGCTGGGTTCCTTCAATGTGTTATTTAGCTGCTTTTTGGTTCCTTTAGTATTATTTAGCTGCTTTTTTGGCTCCTTTACTGTGTTATTTAGGTGCTTTTTGGTTCATTTAGTGTTATTTAGGTGCTTTTTGGTTTTATTTGTGTTATTTAGCTGCTTTTTTGGCTCCTTTAGTATTATTTAGGTGCTTTTCGGTTTGTTAGTGTGACCTATCGCTGCTTTTTGGTTCCTTTAGTGTTATTTAGGTACTTTTTTTAGTATGTTCTATCGCTGCTTTTTGGTTCCTTCAGCTGCTTTTTTGTTTTATTTGTGTTATTTAGGTGCTTTTTTGGCTCCTTTAATGTGATTTAGCTGAATTCTGCTTCCTTCAGCTGCTTGTTGGCCCCTCTACTGTTCTAATTTTATTCTACTTTTCCACTCTTTCACATTATTTGCACTACACATAAAAACTTTCACGGTTGTGCGTTCGTATTTACGGACTTTCACATTAGTAAATCCTTTATTTACAGGCTACCACATAGTACATTCTTATTTTAGAGTTTATCACGTAGGGCATTTTTACTGATAGTGTATATTACACTTATTGTGCATTTTATATTTTCTTATTGTTTATTTTTACTGACTGCATATTTATCTGTATTTATGGAAACTTTACTCTTTCTGCTGTAACAACCCACATTCCCCACAGGGATTAATAAAGCACTTCTATTCTATTCTCTTCTATTCTTGTTATACAGCTGCTTTTTAGTTGCTTTTCTATGATTAACAATGATGTACTAGGTAACTCCTGGAAGTTAGAGAAACACCATCAGCACGACTCCTTATCTTACAATCACACTGTTGAACTAAAGCAGACGTTGTTGCACCACGAGGACCCTCCCAGGAGTTTATTACGCGTCTTTATGTGTAATGAACCCTCGTCGTAATAAACCTGTCAGTGCAGTGGAGTACCTTGAGCACGGTGAAGGCTGACTGGATGAGGCCGGGGTCAGCGCCTCTCCAGATCACCTGGTTTCCCATCAGCACGTGCCACGCCAGCTGTCGGAAGTCCGCGGCTCCGAGGACCTGACGGAAACAGAAGAACTCGTAAGATTTCTAACCTTCCGATGATCCTCTAACTAATCGTCTGTGACGTGACGTTTTGTTGGAAAAAAATAATAATCTTGAAATCAGAACATTTCGTTAAACTCACTTTATTCTACATCTCTCATGTTTTAAAATAAAATGTCAAAAATAAACCAACTGCATGAATCACATTCTGCCAGCGTGAAGCAACGAGTGACTCAACAGCAGAAACTGTCTGAACTGGGCTGAACTGGGTCCCACCCAACTGCCCCTTGGGGATAAATAAAGCTTTTTCTGATTCTGATTAACTGCAGGT